GTCCGTGGATTTTTAGACGATCAATGTCCCAATCGGTGGATAGGGAGATGTGGGCCCATAATCCTATGGACTTTTGTATATGGGGTTATATGAAATCTGTCGTGTATCACACCGAGGTAGAGAATGTAGAGCAGTTGCGGAATCGTATCGAAGATGCCGCTGAAAAAATACGTAACAACCCTGGTTTATTCCATCGCATCCGCCGCTCATCTATCCAACGTGTACACTGCGAATGGTTTTTATACTACTACTTACTATATCAGGCAAACTATTCGTCGCACAGAAAATTTGTAAATACATTTTTTGTTGCAAATTAAATTCTCTACAACTTTTAGTCGTAGAACCAAAAATAACAAAGTTATTAACGAAAATAGATAAAAATTTGGGAACGATTTTTTTTTTGGGCGTTTTCTGGTAATTTTACAAAAAAAAAATACATCAAAGCATTTTGATAGAGGGGTTTTCAAGGAATAATTTCCATTACAAACTTTTCAAATTTGATTTATTTATTAGGGTTTTACAGCGATGCGAAACTTACACTATTCTCCAGTACTAGTAAGTATATATTAATATGAATGATTAAGCATAGGAGGTGTCCTTCAAAGTTTTCTTCCAGTTGTGCTAATTGTGAAAAGTATTTTGAGTTTTGTGGACAAGAGGTGGGTTTCAGTGTCGACCAAGCAGAATCAGATGCAGATACCCTCATCGTTCGCTCCGCTCTTGCTGCATCGCAATCGTTCGACTCAGTCACTACTGTCGCCGAAGATATCAACATTCTTGTCTTGCTCACGGCATTTGGAAGAACACATTCAAATGTATTTTTTTTAAACAATCAAAAGGACGTAGAGCCGAACAATTATATTGTCCGTCAAGTTTTATGTACGGTGACGTCATTGTGGATAATCTGTTGTTTCTCCATGCCTTCTCAGGATGTGACAGGACTTAAGCAGCTTACAACATCGGTAAAATTAAATTTCTCACAACCCTAGAGACACGTCCTGAGTTAGCTAGTGGAACAGCGTTATTCCTCAATGAGAGAGTCGACCCTACTTTGCTCACTGCCGTTGGCGAACGTTTTTTCATCTCTTTATATGGTGGCAATAAAGATGATGATTCTCTTGACAGTCTTAGATATAAACGATTCGCCAAGTTAGTGACAAAGAATACATTTAATTTGTCTTCACTTCCTCCAACACAAGACACAGCCCGCTTGCACAGCCTCCGAGTCTATCATCAGGTCCAGTCGTGGCTCGGGAATTACAACGACCCTCAAGACTGGGTCTGGAAAAAGAATGGACAAATATTGATGCCTCTTCAAAGTTCAAAACCTCCAGCACCCCCTGAGCTTCTAAAGTTGATATCCTGTCGATGTAAAAGGAAACTGTGGAGCAATGTGTGGATGTCGGAAGGCAGGCCTTAAATGTTCTACAGTGTGCCTGAATTGTTCTGGGGAGACATGCAGCAACATAATGGAGATATCAAAATTGATCGAGGAGAATGATTTTGAAGATGAACTGCCAACAATGACGCCACTTCATTCTCCATCTTTCCTCAACAATTCAATATCGGAAGCTCAACCAGATCCTGAGTCACAGCCTGGCCCATCAAAGAGACTGAGGACACAGTAGATTGGGAAATATATTCCGATATTTTTAATTACACTAATTATTATGTCAGCTAGAAAATGTCCGTGGATTCTGCCTACTAGGGATACGATGTAAAAAAACCGCTCAACCAGACTCTACCTCGTAGGGGCTGTATGGAATTAAGCCACTTTGAAAGTATGGATGGGAAGCTTAGGGGTCTAGCTATTTCCCCTATAAATATTGTTGCTTTATTTTTCTTACTATAAAATACACATGGTTTGAAGCTAGTCACTGTTTCTCTCCATTTTTTTTTTAAATTAAATATCTCAAAAACGATTAATTTTAGGAATAGGGAAACTTCATAAAAGTCCATCTAAAATAACATGTAGAATCCAAAATTGCAATAATATATAAGGTGTTCCATTTAAAATAAGCAAGTTGATGGCGACTTCCGGTATAACCAGAAGCGTTAGGTGGAGGCTATTATTTTAGTTGAGAAGGGCACGCCCGAAAATCCGATATCCCAAATTTTCAAAATTCAAATCGAAGTAGTCTGAAATAATTCTAACGGGCCGTCACCGTGAGACACCCTGTATATACAGGCTGTTACAAAGTCTCTTCTCACTACAGGGATCTCTGAAACGATAAGAAGTACGAAGTAGCTTAAATGGGTGCAAAGTTGCGTAACCAGGGGACCAACTTTATGCCTCTAAAAAATCAAGGTTAACATGATTAGTTTTCGAAATATTTGAAAAAAACCGAAATTTTGGAAATTCGTTTTTGTTTAATTTCAGCCTTATTTGAGGTGATATTGAAAAAGAAGAACACTTTCTCATGGCCACTTTTTGTCCTCTATCGATTGGCATAATAAATTTTTGTATGTAGCGTTTCGTCTCTCCAGGACCATCATCAACTTCATTTTTTTAAATATTACCCTAGAAATTTTATTACATTTTTTGCAAGCCATCATGACCCCCAATGCTGTACTGCCTCAACCCGAACCAAATTCAGACGATTTGTATCGAAAATTTCATCTTCAGTGGATTCATTCCAAATTTATTTAGATTTCTTTGTTTATTGAATTATCGTACACTGTAAGTGTCGTTAGACCCTGTGAAATCCATCTAGTTATTTAAATTATTACCACCACGCATTAAAATAAAACATTATTAGAGTTTTATTCTTGTGTCCATAGTTATTTCTAGGCTTCTCGAGTGCTCAAAATTCAAACAAATTTCGACCTATTTTTTTCAGGATATTCATACAATTACATCTGACATGCTCTTACAAATTTGCGGTTACAGATATAATAAATTCCGATAATATTACGCTGATCTTCATTTTTAACCTTTGCCAAAACGAAAATGTTTTTGAACATTTACTGAAATTTTTTAAAGAATAATATTCAGTTGACGTTTTGGTTGTCCATATGCATTTTTAAGAATTAATTTGTCACAATAAAATTAAAATTGTAATGTTTTAATTTTGACGCAACAGCTTATTGAGTTATGTATGACCAAGTGATGGTAATAGTTAATAATAATAAGTGTTTTATTGTAACGTGTGGTGGTAATAGTTTAAATAACTAGGCGGATTTCACAGAGTCTAACGACACTTACAATGTACGATAATTCAATAAACAAAGAAATCTAAATAAAAAATTTAGATAAATTTGGAATGAATACACTGAAGATGAATTTTTTGAGACAAAACGTCTGAACCTGCAGTACAGTATTGGGGGTCATGAAGGCTTGCAAAAAATGTAATAAAATTTCTAGGGTCGTATTTAAAAAAATTAAGTTGATGATGGTCCTGGAGAAACGAAACGTTACATACAAAAATTGATTATGCCATTCGATAGAGGGCAAAAAGTGGCCATGAGAAAGTGTTGTTCTTTTTTCAGTATCACCTCAAACAAGGCTGAACTGAAACAAAAACGGATTTCCAAAATTTCGTTTTTTTACAAATATTTCGAAAACTAATCATGTTAGCCTTGATTTTTTAGAGGCATAATGTTGGTCCCCTGATTACGCAACTTTGCCCCCATTTAAGCTACTTCGTACCTCTTACCGTTTCCGAGATCCTTGTAGTGAGAGCGAATTTGTAACAGCTTGTATACAAGGTGTAACTGAAATAAGTATACAAAATTTCTGAGCTTGTAAAACAAGTCGAAAAATTACGAAAACTTTAGTACAATTTTTGTCAGTGGCGGCTCGTAAGGGAGCTACGCCCTCCTAAAGGGGTAACCTCGGAAACAGTTTTTAATGCGTAACATCCAAACGGCTCGACATTAAGTCACGGAATTTTGGTGAGATATTAACCTTGACGTGCTTAATAAGTCTCATAAAATACTTTTCAAAATTTGCTACAGGGGCGTGAGAAAATGCAGGACCCAGGGACAAATTTAATCATATCTTTTTTGTAGTCAATTTTTTCTAGTTCCTGACTCGAAAATATTGAAATTTGAAGTGTTTAACATAAAAAAGGTCCTCTTGTTAAATTTTACTAGGATGTGCCGTTTTCCAGTAAAATCGATTTCAATCATTCCCAACGAGCACCAAATCCAACTACCATTACATAGTAAAATAAATTAATTGCAGTGTGCCATGGGGAAAACAACTAGTCTGACAGTTAACAGAAATGTCAAATATTTTTAACACTCTTAATAGTAACAAATAAAAATATGGTGATATAAATAAAAGCTAAAAAATAGATACATATGAGATTATTTATTAAACTATTGTAAGAAGCGGCTGAAACATTTACGTAACATTTTAACAGATTTAAACTATTTAGTTTAGTTTAACAAATTAACCAAATATCTTAATTTCTTTAGCAGAAAATGTGCCCTAGTCAAGAAGACAGACTAGATTCAACTTTCAAAATGTCCGCCGTTTGCCGTAATGCACGCACGTAACCTGTTGTCCAAAGAAAATAGGTTAAGGTATAGTTTGTGCTCCACATTGAGTTCATTAAATGCGTCAAGGTTAATATCCCACCAAAATTTCGTGACAATGTCGAGCCATTTGGATGTTACGCATTAAAAACTGTTTCCGAGGTTACCCCTTTAGGAGAGCGTAGCTCCCTTAGGAGCCGCCACTGACAAAAATTGTACTAAAGTTTTCGTCATTTTTCGACTTGTTTTACAAGCTCAGAAATTTTGAATAGGTACTTATTTCAGTTACACCTTGTATATGATGATATATAGAAAGATCTAGAAGAAGTTAAGAACTAATATTTAAGAAGATATATGTTAAGAACTAAAGTTTTAATTATTAATCATTTTAATAAGTTAATTGTTAACTATATTAGGGCAGTACCAGCATAGACTTTTGTAAAAGTTTAGGATTTTTGTTTTTTTTTTTAATTGAAAAGTACCTTTAATATCTAGTTAGAATTTACTAAGTGACCTACCAGAACATCATCAGCTTCTATATTAACGTCCTCAAGTTGATCTGCAGATTTCATTGCTTTTAGTTTTTGGGGTACCAATGTCCATACTTTTATAATGGAATCATTAAATCCTACGGCAAGCATACTTGAGTCCTCTGAAATCTCAGCACAACAAACTCTAAAATAATAAATATAATAACCAAAAAATAAAATAATAGTTTTGCTTACGAATAACTTGCATTTAAAAGTGTATAACAACAACAGGAAGGTAATAATTCCGATCCCAAAGATATCCTTTTCGATGCTTCTCTCAACGCTTTTACTTTTTCAATTTTATCATTGTCTTTCCTAAAAGAAACATTTGTAAAACACAAATAACTCATACAACAATTTTAACTTACAAATCAGGAACTGGAATTCTATCACTTGGAGGTGCATTAGGATCCGATTTTGTTTTTTTTGAAAACAAAGGGTCCTTTTTTGTTTTCTTTTTTTTTGGTTTATCTGGATTGTCTTGATCACCCACTTCTTCCTCTTCTTCAACAGGCGCAGCTAGAGTTTGTATATCAGGCACTTTCGGTATACCATAATATACTTTCATTTTATTATCTGAGAAATAAAAAATTTAATATTGTCAACTATAAGTACTTTAGACAGAGGAAGAGTAATATAATTAAATTTAAATAATCATTCTGTAACTATAGTCAAAACTTTGAAAGATAAATATGTATGAATATATGGCATGACTTTATTTGGACATATATTTCTTTAGTAGATTTTCACAAAAAATACCTTTGGTACAAATATTTATTTAACTCAATTCATAGAACAAAGTTTATAAATATAATTGGAATCAATTACATGTCAGTATTACACAATAGATTTAAAAGCAACGAAGTGTCCAGTTGTAAATTGAATGCATATTGAACTGACCTTGATGAACTGATGTCCATCTCGCTCACTCTCTTTATAAAATGGTGGACTGACTCAGTCATTATTCCCGATTCTTCTACCGGTTGTTTAATTCTAATGCATTTGGTAACGAATATTTAAACCGCGGAAACTTGGTGAATCAGGGGCCAGTCCGGAGCCACTTTGAGAGCCAGTTCACAATTTTGTCCTCCACATGAAAAGCAACCCCTCAGTGGTGTAAGTATGTGTTTTATATAATAAAATGTAAAAATGAATTGATTTGCCTCTCTGTTTTTCCCTCTTAGCAGCCAAGCGAGTAGCCCGAGAATATAATATAATTTTCTCACTAATTGTTTTTGGTATTTTAAAGAACAACAGGACATAGCTTCTATAGGAAACGTGACATTATCGCAATATGTTCACAAAAAAAATGATACTAACAATATTACAAACAGTATTTGAGACTAAGCTACAAATGAATATAATTAGTAACAGTAAATAAAAAGTTACACTAACAAAATAAACCAGAATAACAAGTGACAACTTAATCTAGATTAACATAATAACACATAACATTTCTTTTGAAAGCTAAAGGCAGTATACAGTCACCAGCCAGCGAGATCCGTCCAGTTCGTCAACAGCCCCAGCAGTAGAAAGATCGCCATAAGATAAGATAAAATTCTTCCAAGTCTAATCCAGGCAGACTGCGCAACCGCCACCATTCGGCGTAGAAGCTTAGCAGTTGGGCTGAATTAGGAATTGAGTTCACATCCATCAGTCGCAGCGAGCAGTCCAGTCCATCAACAGACCAAGAATGGTCGCTGATTGGTAGGATTTTTGCCAGTCCAGTCCAGTCTAGGCAGTTTACGCAGCCGCCAACCAGCGTATAATACTCTGGTATCACAAACCGAATAGCAGCGGCAGAGCGAGTAGTCCAGTCCGTTAGCCACCAGAAAGATTTTTCCAAGTCGAGCTTGTGAAGAGTACGCAACCGCCACCGTTCGCTGTAGAAGCTTGGCAATTGAACTGAAGAAGTTCAGTTGATGTCCACTCGTTGCAGGGAGCAGTCCTCTCCAGCAACCATTTAGCCACTAAAGTAAATAAGTTACATGCATGTCCAATGCGCAAGTCTCCCGAATTAGCAGGTAATTCCACTTCAGAGTTAGTTCCGATCTGCCACCTGACAAGAACAGACGTACCGATGAGAAATGAATAAAGGTTTAGGTAAAGACTTGGCTACTGTATACTTTGTTTTAGTCATATCTATCTTTTCAGATATCCGCCCGTACTACTACGTGGTTACGTACATTATCGTTTCTTTCCTATGTACCTAACCTGCATTACATCAACCGACCAACCTAACGGGTAAGCCTCATTTTTATTTAATAGCTATATTTATGTTGTTGTATATTCTTCTTTTACAATTGTGACTCAGACAAATAACATAACAGACCAATAGACACAAACAACATGTACACAGTCGTTAGGGTACCCCTAACAAGACGAACACACACACAAACTAGCATGACAAACTTTGACCACGATTACGTAAACATCCACATACACGACGACGCAACTAGCGAGAGGTCATCCTCAAGGGCATCTTCTACCTCCACAGCCTCCCAAAACACCACGACAAACACCGACCTAAACAGACAAAGACAACAACACAAAACAAACAAAACAAGAGATCAGAAAACACATACAACAACCACAACTACTCACTCCAAACCCTACCCCTGGCCCATCCTACGCCGAATTGACAAAAAAGGCTCCCCTGAAAATTCAACAAAACCCACCAAACAAACACGTAAACAAAACAACATTTCACCAAACACAAATACGACACCCTCCACCGAGCGCGGCGGCCCTGATTGACGCAATGATGCGTCTTCAACACTTCTGTGTCCAACTGACGACCATCATGGTCGAACATGCACGAAGCCGTGGCGATAATGGTGAGGACACATTGCGATGGTGTCCTATTAACATGTCCCCGACTCCCAAACTCGACATTGACCTAACCTAGACCAAATCCTATCCTGGCCCCAGAAGATTGAGTTATACACCCTATATTGTATTCATGCATACTATAATGTTATATAGAAGGTCGCTATCAATTTACGTCATTGTAAACGATAAGAAAGAGATCTTATATAAACTCATACGAGATCTCTTATTGCCAGTATTCAGATTTGTTGATTGTACTATAGAAACAGTCACGATTTGCATCTTTAACTACAATACTTGGACCCACAGAATCTACGTTCTACGGACCCACCGGCCTCTTCGATGTACTATACATAGCTATACTAAAATACATCCCACTAATTGCCCAAATATTCGCCGAGTACGAAGGGTCTACCGCCCATAATCCAGTCATGCTGGATTTGGGGCGGAGACAAGGATGGGAGGGCACCATCACGAGGAGGTTCACTTACTAGGCGCGCTTCCGAGCAGAAATGCAAAGGAACACCACGCTCCCAGTCACTGAAACCACCCATGACCTGTTGGCAGCAGTCCTTACGGTAGAGATAAACATTAAACTAACGCAAACCACGACAGAGACTATAGTCCCCCGACTGATAAATCCCAGAGGAATGTTCCTCGAGGACACCAGACAACACATACGCGACAGACGACATCTTAAACGGCTTACCACCCGCACCCGCCTTCTCCGATACGAACGCGACTTAAACTACTAAAGACGGATGAAGGCGGCCCTGGGTGAGCTGGCTTAGGAAAACTGTGTATGAGGCACAATGAAGGAAATTGTTTATAAAAACACTATAAATACTCGCGTCCAACTTTGGCAAGAAATTAGTAATGCCTTAACTTTTTTTGATCCAATGGTATTATTTAATATTAGACGATCTTTCATAAATCGTATGGACAAGTGCATCGAGGTGAATGGTGGACATATTGAAAATTTACTTTGAAACATTTCCTATTTTTCCTTAGGTACATATTCAGTTTTTTACTTGTTAAACGCTTGATAAAATCATAGTTTTGTTTAATTAAATTTCTCCTTTAACTGGTTATGTAAATAAAATTTATCAACTTGATAATTTCTATTTTAATGTGTACAAAGGGATAATGTTTAATTGTCAAAATTAATGTTTTCATTAGAGCACACTACGATAAAATTTTCTGTAATGAAACATGCAGCAGATTGTTGATATGCGTTTTTCTTGAAAACGGACAATTTCTAGAGCTAATGACAAGTATACCATTTTTTCACGAAAATAATGTAGGTTTAAGATTTAAAAAAAAAGAAGCGTTAACGTTGTGGATAAAAAAATTATGCTCGTATTTACGTCATAAACACGGCGTATGTGGCGCCCTCTAGAAGATACATCGAAATAGATAACAAATTATGATTTCTCGTATACAAAAACATCTACCCCTAAATTTTCACGTTCATACACTCAAAAATATTATAATTATTACGAAAATTCAATTTTTAATGTCCAACTGTCACGCCCTGTATCTTTTTTGTTATCAACATTTTATTAAGGCATATTGGCTCCAATCGTAATATTTTGAAGTAAAAAATCTAGTAAGTCTCTATGAACCATTACTTACGGACCACCCTGTATATACAGGGTGTCCAGAAATTCATGCAACAAAATTTGGTCATAGATTCTTAAGACAAATTTAGGGGACCCGTATTTTTTCTTTTTGCCAACTGGTCCCTGTTTCGGAGTTACAGCCCCCTGAAGTCTGCCCCTAAAAATAGTATTTTTCTTATATCTCGGAACCCTGTTGTACGAGAATAACTAAATTTGGTGCACAGGGGTTTTATGACATGTGGAATCTGATAGTGCTACGCTTTTTGGGCGAGGAACCCCCTTAAGACACTTTTCCATGGGCCCCCTTGTCTTTAGAGCCAAAAAAATTTGGTAGCATATTTTAATTTCTTAAAAATTGTTAGTCCCCTAGAAAGCCACTGAATTGGGAAACTTTTTTGTCACTTGGTATTTTTTTCGTAAAATGCATTATTTTCGAGAAAAATGGCAAAATGTGATCGAATGGATATCGTGATTCGTATGAAATTTTACGTGTTAGTCGTAGGTGGCTGACGTTCGCAATAAATAAACAAATTAATTTTTTGACAGTTATCATTAATCAGTTGTCGGATTATTATCTTTTCTGTATTTGTTGAAAAAATTGTGACATTTTCCATTCAAGAAAAGGTCCAAATGCACCTGATTTACGGAGAGGCCCGTGGAAATTCACGTCTCGCGTCGAGACTGTACGCTGAACGATTTCCCCAACGAATACATCCGTATCATTCGATGTTTTCGCGTGTGCATCGCCAACTTCTGAAGACGGGTTCTGTAATTGTCAAAAGACCCAATGCAGGAAGACATCGTTTGTTAACACCCTATCAAAAAGGAAATATCTTGAATTAAATTGAAGAAAACTCATTGTCAATATCGATTCTCGATTAACTGTTGGGTTAGAATCGTCGGGAGATGTCTTTATTTGACCACAGTTGCTCCCTCGTCAGAAATTTAATTACATTTCATGGAAAACATTGTGAATTAAAAAATAAATAAAAAAAGAAGCATTTTATTCAGGTTTCAAATTGTTTTTGTGAAGTTTTTATTAATAATTCGGTTCTTAAAATTAAATTTAATTAGAAAAAGTAAAATAACACCAGTCAATTCCGTAAAATGTGTTCAAAGTG